GTGTTCAGGCATGCTACAGTTCATTCCACTCTACTCATTTTGCTGCAGGACTTGTGAAACATAAATGGAGACTTCTGAGTGTCAGGTTTGTCCTGATTTGAGCATTTAGGAAAGAAAGACCCTCAACTCCATTTTTTCATGAAGTGAAAAGTTTACTTTTACTAAAGTCAAGTGGTTACAGCATAAGCAAAGCTGGATCTGAACATTCCCACCCAAAACAGGCATTTTCCCCTCTTCCCTGGCCCTCCGCCATTGACTGTCAGTGTCCAATGATATTTGGCGCCTCTTTGGTGGTGGTTCACAGTCCGTTCTCATGGCTCCATCCTTGATCGGCTGGTCTCGTTCCAGATTGACACCTCTGTTTCCTGTCACCCTGTCACTCCCCTCTCCTACTTCCCCATTCCCCCACCCTCCCGCATTTTAAGGCAGGATGCCAGCAAAGCAGTGTATGCTGAAGATGGCAGATCTGGTAATGAGATTTAGACTTCTGGTTCTCTCAAAATCCAAGGCTGAGGCACTGGACGAGGTTGTTTCATCATTTTTCTCTTGAAAAAAGGTGCAACCTGTTTTTTTTTTTTAACATTTGAGAGACTTCTTAGCACTGCATCAGTCTATCAACAGTTTAATGAATTCCTTCTGATCTCAGTTCTCTCCCAAGTTACTCTCCATTACTGAAGATGTTGCCATTTCTAAATTCACCTGTCTCTTTTCCTTTGGGTATCCACTACTAAAGGTTTGAGAAACCTGTATGGTGTAGTACAGTTTTTACTTTTCATTTTGCTAAGTAACTCTGGCGTTCCTAGTGGTCATTTGGTGGAAGTATCTTTTGTAATGAAGAAATTGGTCGTAACTTGAAACAACAGCACCGTGTCACTTCTGTATCTTTCAGAGATCGAAGACCAAACTGGGCAGAGGAAAGAAGACTAAATGCAGAGACATTTGGAATTCCACTGCGTCCAAACCGTGGTCGGGGATTCAGAGGCAGAGGGGGAAGTGGAGGAGCTGGTGGCTTCCGGTCAGGTAGAGGACGTGGAAACACAAGAGGACCCTTCAATGCTCCTCGGGGTTTTCGTGGTGGATTCAGAGGTGGCCGTGGTGGCAGGGAGTTCGCGGATTTCGAATATAGGGTAAGACAGTTACCAATATTATTACTATTTGTAAATTGCTAATTATAGTGCTATTTACAGAACCAAAATAGTTTAGGTAATTCACTTTTTTCTTTAATTATAGTATTATCTTTATGATTTTAACATATATTATTATATTTTATATTATTATATTATATTTTATATTATATTATATTATATTGATATTATATTATATTATATTGATATATATCCTGCCAGTTTTTCCTTTTCTTTTCCACCACTGATGGGCGGCCTCATTGAATTAATTAAGCAGCACAATAAATGGGCTACAAACTCAGGGTGAAGTTTCTTTTTTATCAAGTCCTACCACTGATCTGTCTCATATCATTAGCTATACTCCCCAGCAACAGCACAGAACTTTCCATCTCTACCAGGCAATGAATTGGGACTTTTCACAGACCAAACATAGGCGCTAAAGTAAGAGGCATGGCTTAATTTTTCCTAAGAGCATAAATTACTCTATTCCATTCATATTTTGATGTACAGTAGTTATTATTGTAGGAGCATTTATGCTATATAATACATAGCTGGCAGGGCATAGTAGATGTGATGAAACTCATTTATTTTGAAAATTTGATTACAAGTTTACTAGTTATTTTGAAAATTTGTATGGCTGCCCATCTTTCAAAATGTTTATGATCTTGATCAAATTGACTTTATACCAGCTTGACCCAAAGTAATGTTAATCTTATATTGCTTTCTAGAAAGACAACAAAGTTGCAGCATAATCTACAAAGAATTTGAAAGCAGGTGGACTTGCTGATCTTCATGGTACCGAGGTGGTGTTGGTTTTTATAAAGAATTATGTTCATTTGCTGTTAAAACTTCACCAGCACTAGCGTTTGTTTTTAATTTCAAAGGAACAGTAACTTTTTTAAAAAATATGGCCATCTTCAAAAACAAGAATATTAAATATATTTGAGATAGAAAACTTAAATAATTTCTTACATATAGTTAAAAGTATAAAGCAGTACTTCAGTGGAGTTTTAGTATTTTTTTTCATTACAAAAAGGGTTTTTCTGAATTAAAATTGTATTTTATAATTGCTGCAGGCTATAAAGACAATTGTATGCAGAAGGCCGTCAGTACTGTGAGTGTGTTGATCCAGTGAAGGTTGTATTTGAAATCCTATAATCTCTCTTTTCAGATAGTTGTAATTTTTGTCAAATAGGATGCTGGGCAGTAAAAAAAAATTGGTTAAAGAAAGTATAAACATGGAAAATGCTGTTTCTTAGGCAAAGGAAGCTTTTATAGTTGTATAATTCCATGATTATCCCATTGCCAAAGAAACACTAGGGATTTTGTATAGCTGTATAAAAAGCAACTAATTTTTTAAGAATAAACATTTTTAAGTCTACAAAACTGCCGTGTTGAAATGCTAAACACATGTTTGGAGGGTTTCTTTCTAGCTTTTCAGCTTTAAATTTGTTTGTTTTTATATTTTGACTACCAATAAATATTTGAAATGTTCTTCCAATATTCAGAAGGATTAAAATATTTCTCTTGCAAGAAATCCATTTTCTAGTTTTTGGTCTTGCTGTACGATTGGACCACACTAAGGGACTATTTAGGTAAAGATAAATCTTAACATTTTATGCAGTTTGCAGGTCATGTTATGATAGTAAGTGAAAAAAGAGCCAGTTGTGACTTCTTGTTCCAGTTGATGTGCCTGGAATAAAAATGAAATGTCTCCGTTTGTCGATTCTTAAAATGTGGTTTTGTATTATACTCAATTAAGAATGATTTCTTAGTGTCTGCGATTGCCAGAGTTTTGATGGACTGTAACTTGGAGACATTGACTGTTCATTTTTACCCCAGCGTCACTAGAGTGCTTTTGCTTGGAGTAACTGAGGTTATCTGAATAACTAGTTATGACTTCTTTTGCTATTAAGTTATAATTAGATACAGATCTTTAATAATTTGTATTTTTATGTATATCTGAAAGCCGCAAGAATAAAGGGATCCAAAGATTAAAATATTTTATCTAATTTGCTGAATTTTTGTTCATTTTCCTTCGTGTTCAGTAGTGATAAAATATGGATAAATGCACTGTTAGCAAATGGGAATATTAAAGTGATAGAATGGTAATTTTATATTTTTTGTATAGCACTATAAAGAAGTATTTTGTAATTCATTTCCACATGAGGTCAAGTATTTGACAACTGTAGAATTAGATACTATTGTTTAGTAATATTCTGCATGTTAAAGCTTTTTTGGAATCCACAAATCATGATACTTAACCGTTTGGAGGGAGCTTTTTAGACAAAAGGCAAGTGCTGTGTTGTTGCAATAACTATGTATGCTGTATAAGGTGTCCCAAACTTATTAAAACCAGATAAATTGTAAATACCAATGAGACATTATGAGGGTATGATTTGGTTTCAATTTACCCATCACTTATTTGAGTTCACTAATTGGGGTGTACTGTACCCCAGCGAACAGCAAGCAGCATGACGTCCCTTCAGTGTATCTTGCTACAGAAAACTGGGCCTTCTTATTTTAAGCCAGAATAAAACCATTCAATAAGAAAAGTAATCTCTGTGAAGTTTCTTTACAGCTCAATCCTATTTCACACATTAGATATCTGGGCCACTGCTTTTGGCTGGCTTGTTTGGCTGACCACAATTTGGTCACGTTAAAGTTTTATCAATTAAACCTGCAGCCTCACAGCTTTGGATGAAAACATGCATAGTAATAATTTTAAACCTGGCTAAATGTTAAATTTTTGACCATTTTCTTATATTACATCTTAATGTAATACATTCTTCTATTACCATTCAATATCAAAATGACAAGAGAATAGGTTTGCTGTTTTAGGATCATCAAAACCAGGGGTCTCCAACCTTGGCAACTTTAAGACTTGTGGAGTTTAACTCCCAGCATTCCTGAACTTTAAGACAAAGCTGGCTGAGGAATTCTGGGAGTCCATAAGTCTTAAAGTTGCCAAGGTTGGAGGTCCCTGATCTAAACCCCAAGGAAGCAAAAAGGTGGGTGGGGTGTAAAGACACTTGATGTGTAGGAAACCCAAGATTTCCAATCAATGCTTTTGAAAACCTATCCCACGGGCACCATTTTTGCACACATGTATTTAAAAGCGCATCGTGGGCCGCATAACCCAACGATTGGGTGGCATCCTTGCAGGGAGGCAGATCGTGTCCCATTGCTAATGCTTGGGCGTGGGGGGGGACTCTAACCTCAGCATGGGACAGGATTTAAACCTGCATCTTCAAATCAAAACAACCTTTATTGTCAGAGTGCAACGTGTACAACGAGGTTGGCTGAGCCTCTCTGAAATTCTTGAACCTTTGCCTGCCTGAAATTAGACAAAACAAGCAAATTATTATTTGGTTATCCCTGGCTTTGCCTGCGGGGAAGGGGGGCTGGGCCGCCCTAGGAGCTGCTCCACGATCAGCACTCCTCTTCTCCCGCTTGTCTTTTGCAACGACGGAGGCGGAATCCCCGTAGCCGCAGCCGGACAGGAAGGTGAAGGGCGCTGGAGGAGACGCGGCGCCCGCCCGCCGCAGCGTTTACATCTGCGGCAGGCCGGGCCTCGACCCCGCCCCCGCGCCATGCCCCTTCCCTGCCGGGAAGCAGCCCTGCGCACGTCCCTCAGCCGAGCTCTGTCCCGCATCTTTCCTGATTCCCCGTTCCCGGCCGGCGGCCCAAGCGGCTTCCCTTCCGTCCCCTGAGAGCCGCCGGAGGAGCAGCAGCAGCAGCAGCAGCACCAGGCCGGCCTCCAGCTGGAAAGGGGCAGCTTCGCGCGCCCACGTTTGGTCGCCCTCGCCTGCCGTCTTCGAGGGGGGGGAGAAGGGGGAGGCTCCGCGCTTCCGGTCTTTGCCGCCCCTTCCGCCACGTGGGTGGCCCGAGGCGCCATGGCGACGGTTTCGCCTCGGGTGCTTTTGGGGCTGCGCGACGCCGCCGTCGTCCCGCCGGGCGATGGCCTCCCGTCGCAGGGCACCGCCAGCAAGCTGGGCGGGTCTCCGGTGGGTTTTGGAGGCCCGGAGCCGGTCGCCGTCGCTTCCTCCTCCGGGCGGTCTGGGTGGGGTAGATAGAGGGAGCCCGGGCTTGATGGGCTCGGCCGAGCGAGGGTCCCCGCCTGAAACCTCGGGACTGTGGAAGAAACGGGAGGGCCTCGAGCCTCTGCCTTCCCTCTGCTGCGCTTGCCCCGCGGTGCTGGCGATAGCGAGGCGGGGTGCAACGGGACGCCGTGCTGGTCCCGGCTTTTCCTCGGAGCGCGAGGAGGAGGCGCCGGGTTGGGTAGCCGGGGGTCCTCCGTGGGTTGGAAACCCTCGGCCGAAATTGAGCTGGCCAGCTTTATGCCGGCTGGGCAGTTGGGGGGAAGGGGTAGCTGGGAGCCGCTTCCTTTGCAGGGTGTCTGCAGGCATTAGACCAGCTGGTTAGAGGGCGGCCTAACCAGCACACCTGGGGGCTTTTTCTGGCAGAAAAGAAAAGAAAAGAAAGATCCTTTATTGAAGATTGAACAATGGCAGGTTCTTTCCTTTTCTCCTAGGATTGGAAGCTCTCCGTCCCCGGGATCCATCCCTCCTGTGAGGTTTGCAGGGCTGGCTTGCTCCACGTGGTGCAAATCTATTGCCCCCTTGAAGGCTCACAGTACCACCGGGTCATCAACGTTTTTGCTTGTGCCACAGAAAGCTGCTGGGGGAATTCTGAAAGGTGGTTTGAGTTTTATCTCAGGCAGAACTTCATGTGTTTATGTGAAATTTGTGTAGCTAATCTAAGAAGTCATGCAATGTTGTCCCCAATTCGGGTCTGAGCCTGGTGCCAAAGCCAAGGATGGACGCCAGACACCAGGTGCAGGTTTTCTGATTGCCTTTTACTGGAGTCCTCCAAGGAAAAGGGGCTCCTGGTCAAAATGCCAAGAGCCAAGAACAAAGGATTGAGTAAGTTTTATACATTTTCACTAAAGGAGAAGGTGAGACAAAGCGAGATAATAAGAAATATCATCTAATAAACATTTTAGTAATAATTCTATAATTTGTTCTATTGGTCTCTAGCTTGTCCCTATTCCCAAGTCTTGGCTAATGAATGCTCTAGGAATTATCTAATACACATTTGATTTGCTGCAAGCCTAACTCTTATCTGAGGTCTGCAAGTTGGCTAACTCTGTTATTTTTATCAGCTTTCCAATTAGCCAGGATTGTTACAAGATTCACACACACATATCCTCCTGTGATAAGCATTCTTTGTTCTTGCCAGGCAGACTCCACAATTACAGGCTTCCTGATTTACTCTGAAGTATGTGCCATGACCTGGCTTTATTTTAGCAGATTGCCCATCAATGTAATACTTCACTCTGTAAAGTTCTTAATATTTTCTGCAATCTCCAGATTCCTATTGCAAGAGTTTGCAAGACAGTTATGGATGAGCACTTTCCTTGCATGCCAAAGACCTCAAATGGTAAAGAATATTCCAGAGATGTGATTTGGTTCAGGGACTCCAGCAAATCATAAACATAGTTTACAGGTTCAGCAGCTGTTTGAAGTTGTGACACTGTTGAACAATTGCTATGTGCAACTGGTCCTTGAAGTCCCAGTTGTCACACTTAAGACAGTCACATAATCACAATTTGCAGCCTTCCCCACAAGCAAAGTCAATGGGGAAACAGGCAGGAAAGGTCACAAATCATTCCCATAAGCCACTCCCACAGCTTTTTCTCCCAATGACCCTGCTACCCAACATCCCCCTGCCTTCACTCCCTATCATACATTTGCCTGCCCAAGGTTGGTCAACACCCTTACCTACCTGTATCCCGTAACACCCACCTGCCAACTGGCCTCATGAGCTGACTGGGACTTGATGTTTCCTGCTGGCTTCTCCATTGATTTTACTTGTGGAAGTTGCAAGTCATGTGGCCATGTGAGGTCCTTGCTTAACAATCCACCATCCTCATTTAACAATGGCAAGCGAGACTGGGAATTGCAATTGCTAAGTGATGAAGTTACAGGATTTGTTTTACAATGGAAATTGCCATCATCAAGCAAGGACTCCTTGTATGGCTTAGTATGCTGTGTGAAGCCAGCCACTGTAACTTATAACCCATAGTTTATTTTTTACTCTGTTGTGGTAATCTGTTGTAATAAAGCAAACCATATGTTGCATGAATACTGTGCAAAGCAAAATAGACTAGTGGCCTGTTTTAAAATCAGGTGGCATCCTGCATTAGTTCACCCAATGAGAACATGGCAGAAAAGGAATACAAATTAGAAATGTCTTTATTTATGCAGGTTACCTTTTTCCCTTAAGCTGTCAAATCTAGTAAAGTTACTGGGATGTAATTTTGTTAGCATTAATTAATTTGTGTCTCTTGCTATTGTCTGTACTATGTTTTTAAAGCTGGAAGGTGTTACGATCCCAGTATTTGCAAGTCCCAAGAAACGAAACACAAGGCTGCACATGGAAGCAGGTATTGTGAGCTGCAGAGAATATATTCTGTAATCAGTTGCAGGTGGACCGGGTCAGCTTTCTAACTGTGGAGGAACTTCTAATGTAGAAGTACAAGCCTTTGCTTAACTATTGATTAAAAAATTCACGTTAGAATTGGGGCATTTCATGGCTATTGAACTGGTAGCTTGTATCTAGTACCTAAGTGTCAGTGAAACATAGGGAGAGATAGCATTATATGCATTAGTCTGTTGAAACACAAGGGTAGCTTGCAACATGCTACAAGATAATATGTGTATTCTTCACCAGAATATATTTATTATATCTGTGCACCTCGTCTCAATATAGCTACTGTATATAGCTCAGTATAGTTATATGGAGGCAATCGGCATGAGCTTAAATGGATCTGGGAATAGTAGAGGACAAGAAGGCCTGGAGGAATGTTGTCCATGGGGTCGCGATGGGTCGGACACGACTTCACGACTAACAACAGCAACAAGTTATATGGAATATTAATGGGAAGACTAACATGCCTTTTTACATCAACTTCCCAGTCTGGGTGCAAGGATAGGCAAACATTCTCTGTGAACCAGAAGCGTTCTACTATGTGTTGGTTAGGTTATAATAGGCTGAACAATGTTCAAATCGTTAAAAAAAATGCCTAATTTATTTTTGTTCAAGTTTCTTTCTTAATGTGGTACCTGCTCCAGTTGGGATTGGCATATTTCACTCCTGGAGGATGTCCTTCATCCAACCTCTTGCCATCCCAGCTCCACCATATTGACAAGAGGAACGAAGGCTGTCTCAAAACTAATGCCCAGCCTGAAATTTAGCTGAAATTGGCCTAGAGAATGTATCAGAGTTTCTCTCCAAAATACAGTTAAATTTGAGGGGTCTTTCACACTCAGCTTGCTGGTTTTCTTAAAGATGTTTCATACCCAAACTAGGTAATATCCTCAGTGCTAGTAGAGAGTGGCTTTTGCTTTTATTTTCTGGTGGCTTGCTTTGTTAGCACTGATGGTCTTGGAGGTTTTTTTGGTTGGACTGTTTCCTGTTAGCTTGTTTGGCAGTTTCTTGTTTGGGGTATTGTTCATTTCTTGATTGCTGGTTGGTCTGATGTTAATCTTGGCATTAATCTTGGATCATCTGGGGGTTGATTGCTGTTAGGAAACTTCTTTTGGTCTTTTTGTTCCTCTTTGGCTTGTTGATTGTCTCTTTTGCCTAGTATGTAGATGCTTATGTGCCCCTTGATGGCCAATTGGTCAGAACACCAATGGTCACAACATCAATCCATGAACGCCAAGGAGAAGTCAGATGACATGATGAAAACTCTTCAATTTCACAATATATGGGCAGACTAACCATAGTTTCAACTGGACAGCTGTCACCAATCCTAAACCAAGCCAAATCCAAAAATGCTACCGAATTCCAGGAAGCCTGGCATCTTGACAAATTGGCCACTAATAAACACATAAGCCACATGCTATGCAAAAGAGGCAAACCACAAGCTAAAAAGGAAACAGAAAGATCAAACCACCTTCCTATCAGCAATCGACAATCAGATGAGCCATGATCAATGCAAAGATTAACATCAGACCAATGATCAAGAAGTAAGCAGCATCCCAATCAAAGAACTACCAAACCAGCTAACAGTAAACAGCCCAACCAAAGAAACTCCGAAGACCAAGAAACTTCCACCAACCCTGATGGGACAAGCTGCTAGAATATAAATTAAGAGCAGATCCCATTCCTTACTAGCACTGATGATGTTACCTAGTTCAGGTAATAAAACACTTGCACTAAGTACCCCTCATTTCAACCCCGAGCTACAAATATTCTCCTTTATCATTTTAATTTGATTTTTCTATAGCCATGTGTTCAATTTCAAAGATGTTTTCAGCTGTTCAAAACCTTCACTGTGTCCCCTGAAAGAAGCATAAAGAGCTCAAAGGTACAGCTCTGTTCTTATTCTGACCAAGGCTTCCCAAGACCGTAATTAAGCACACACTTAGTCCAAAGAACTCTTGTTTTATTTCAGCGCTGGGAATTATGTTCATTCCCAGCCTGTAATGAGTCCCAAACAGTCCCTCAAGATAAGCACCCACCTTTCTCTCCTTTGAAGTGCTGCCAACAACTAAAGTGCCAAATGAACTGTAAAAAACCAACCGAAGTACAAAGTCCACACAGAGCTTCAAGGATGAATCTGAACAGAACGAACGGCTTTGCTTCCTGCAAAGGTTTCTCTACCTTTGCACTTCCTTTATATCTTAGGGGAGGGGCAATCACCTCCAAGCCTTGCTCCCGAGTCGCCCCTTCTGCTTAAGCTGCTCTTGCCTTCTAGGAGCTCTGCGCACTGCACACACGCGCAGTGCAAACAGACTCCCCTTGTTCCTCTGCCTCGCTGCTGCCAGACTCTGGAGCCTCCGAAGGCAGCACCCCATTCCCAGGTGGCCCTGGTCCCATCTCTTCATCAAACGCAGGAACCTCGTTCGAGTCCTCTCCAGACTCCCGGACTGGTCCCCATTCTTCCCCACAGTCCGATTCTGCTGCTGTCTGCACCAGCTGCCGGCGAGCCACAACAGTTCTGCAGGCAGAAGGCCCCAACCAGATTTATATATTAGTTAAGTTATATAGCTGCCCATCTCAAACATGACTCATATTGGCATTGAAAAAAAGAATATAAATATACCCTGACTCCTCAAGGCCTGGAAAAGTCTCCAGCTGGATGGATTGAAGCAACTGCTTTATAGCTGCTTGGATCGGGCTCTGCATAAGTCACTTCTGTATCCCTTGGTTTGATAGGAGCAAGAATGGACCCAAGCAGCCACGGACTGGTGCAGTGGAGCAGATGACTGGGGAGAGGACTGTGAAGAGGCACCTTCTGAGCTGTGTGGGACTTCCAGCTCTTTCCCCAGAGAAACACAGTGTGCAGCTCTGCTGCAGAGGATGAGCCTGGGGGGAAACACCGGGGCCCTTTGTGATCTGACCCGGGAAGAGCAGATCAAGCCCCGCAGCCACGGCCCTGAGTTCCAGCCCTACTACATCAGTGTAGTGGATGAAGAAGACTACCTCTGTTGGGACCACCTGGATGATGCCCAGAGGCTCCTAAAGGAGTATCAGCAGAGGGAGGATGTGGATTTGGAACATTGGATGTCAGCAAGGTGAGGCTTGAGCCAAGGTGAACCTGAAAGTTTTCTCTGGGTTGCGAAGGTCCTAGAGTTGTACCAAGCAACAGCCAGGTCTGCAGATAAGGAGAATGTACTTCATAGAATGGAGTATATTCAAGAGACTTGCTATTTGAATATTTATAGTTTTCTATTGTAGGCTTCAAAGCAGCTCACAAAAGTACAAACCATTCAGGTAATAAAAGTACAAATGTAATGTAAAGTCTTGCTATAACTTTAGATCACAATGATGCCAAAAATGAACTTGAGCAGAGGCTTTGAAGAACAAAATCAAACTTTAATTTGATCAAGCAAAGTTAGGGTAAAACTAATCCACACATATACACAAGATAAACATGAGAGGAAGGCTACAAAGCATGTGGGACAATGAAAGTCATATACTTTAACTGCCTCGTAAAACTCTCTAACTTAGATTTACATCTTCCTGCAAAAGACAGCTCTTTTTCTGGCAACGTTTACCTTTCGTTATCTCTTCTCCTATTGTCTTCCTAATTGATCACAACTGACCACTTGAGGCTATTAACAGCATACTTCAAAGGTATGGATTACTCTGGGAGGCTTGGGATGCATTACATTCCCAGAGGATGCGGGGTGAGATGTGTCAATCCAGGAAAACTGATGGATTCAGATTGATTTAGATGGGAGAGCTATATGCCTTAATAGGAGGAGGATAGAACTGATTGCAGGCATGTGTTTATAATTGTTTTACAACAAGTGAATGGTTATGGAAATCTTTTTTTACAACAGCAAGATAACAAACGTGTACAGAGTGGTAAATGCTTAACTGTTATGGTTATGGCTGAGGTCTCGGAGAGCAAGGGCTAAGATGAGGGGCCTGCGTGTGACGCAGGGATGGGGCCAGGACCATCAGGGAGTGGAGCGCTGTCTTTGGGGATTGTGGAAGCTGGCAGCAATGAGGAAGAGATCCCCGAGGAGCCTGGGCCCAGTGGGCGTGCGCGCAGGGCTGCTCGAAGGAAAGAGCAACTGCAGCAGCACGGGAGACTCGGGAGTAAGGCTGCAAGGTGATGACCCCTCCCTTAAGAGATAAAAGCCAGCCCTCAGAGGTGGGATTCTTTGCAGGAAGCAAAGAGGTTCTTGCACTTCAAGTCTTGTGGAAGTTTGGTTTGTGTTTGGAGACTTTTGGTTTTGATTATTTCCTTGCAATTTAATCTAGTGTTCTTGGCAGACGTGACCAGCTTGTTCTTATCTGGGACAATTAGTTTTCAATAGCGTTTTACTATGAATGAACAGAATTCACAGAGAAGCATTAAAGAGGTTTTGCTTTTATCTCTGTTTGGTATTTGTTTGCTTTGAATGAGGCTTGGGTCAGAACATTAACAGAAATAATTCTACATATACATTATAGAACAAATGCCTATAAAGTAACTTTCTACTTAATGCTATAATATATTCTATTACATTTCTTTATTTATTATTACTATTCCCTTCAGTAAAAATGATCAGGATCAGTCATAAAGTCAACAGCATAAAATTACTATAGATAAATCTTCCTCCAGGTAGGATAAACCAGGCAGAGCTCCAACCCTGATGTCATGGCTCTTAACCACATCCTGTGGATATCCCAGTCCCAAGTTTTCACGTTCTCGTTTAGTAGAAAACACTTCAGAGTCTACTTTGGAGTTTGTTACTAATGCAGTAATATTGTGATGGTTGTAATATCAGTGTCTCCCCTATGCTTAGTTACACCCCTGATGGCTCTGGTGAGAAGTATGAGAAGAGTGAAGCTCAAAAGAGAAACCAGATATTCTACAAATTCATGAAAAGAATTTCCTCCTGCCAGGAACAGATCTTAAGGTAGGTTAGGCCCATTTATTTAGCTTCTGTGTATTAAAAAGGCAGAATGTGTTTGGAACTAAGCTAGAATTTAGAATATCTTCGAGCCCTGCTGTCAACCGTCCCACGCAGTTCAAATAAAGACTCTTGGGCCAGTGTCATTCTCCAAGAGTATATTTTACTGAACTGATACGGATACAGAAGTAGCAACGCTAATATAATAGGTTCCCACAGCATAAATACACCCCCCCCCCATCGCACAGTCCCTTTATTTCCTCCAATCCAGGTGAAAATCACATATCCCAAATCCTCCCCGCTTTGGCAGCAGTCCAATCAGGTATCAGTTCCAGTGTTTTGGAAACCAGGTGCCTCTGGCAGGGTTGTAAATTCCTTTCCCAGGAAGATACTCGGTTAGACACCTCTGGTTCCTGCTGGTGTCCATACTCCCTTATCTCCCACAGCATTGCTCCAAGGCGGGCCGCTGATAGTGTAATGATGTTCCTGGAAAGTAGGGAAGAGGGTTATGTGGCTTCGTTTTAGCAATGGAAGGGGAGGATCTGAGGCAAACGGCGGCATCCAGCTGGCAAGTGTTTTATGTGCCTGCTGTAAACATTATAAAGTATGAACAAAAGCAGTTGCTGCCCACTGGCATGTGGCCTTGAATTTTCATGCTGTCCTTTCTGAGCAGGTTCCCCACTGCATTGGGAGGTGCCATAGGGCTGTTCCCCTTCTTAAGTAAATATCCCAACCGTTGGCTCCAATGAACTGAACTAAACTAAAAGGTGGACTTAGTTTACTTTATTGTCATTGCACCTCATACAATGAAATCAAACACTGTCTTCAGTGCACATCAGGACCATGAAAATAAACACGAACACACATCTTTCACACTCCACACATTGAACCGGAAACCCCCGACACCGCACCAACACTGCACTACACAGCAGAATTCAACAGAGCTCCTGCCCTGGGATAGAAGCTGTTTTTCAGCCTATTTGTCCTTGTTTTTATTGTCCTGTACCGTCTGCCAGATGGTAATAGTTCAAAAAAAGGGGGTTCCCAGGCTGAGATGGATCTTTGAGAAAGTTTTGAACTTTCTTAAGGCAGCAGGAGCTCTAAAGCTCTTCCAAAGAGGGGAGGGGGCAACTAATGATCTTCAGGACAATGACATTAACCCTCTGGAGTGTCCCCCTATCTGCCACTGTGTAATTGGCAAACCATACAGGGGTTCAGTAAGTTAAGATACTCTCTATGGTGCAGCGGGAGAAAGTCACCAGCAGTTTTTCGTTCAGTTGTTTTCTGAGAAGCCTCAGGTCATATAATCTCTGCTGGGCCCTTTTGACCAGGGCTGCAATGTGGGGCCCCCAGGTCAGGTTCTCTTTTAGGGTAACACCCAGAAACTTAAAACTAGCCACTTGCTCCCTTCGATCTCCATTGATAAACAAGGGCTGGAGGTCTGATCTGTTCCTTCTCTAATCCACTATAAACTCCTTGGTCTTATTGGTGTTGAGGACCAAGTTATTGTTTCCATACCACAAAAGCAAACGGACCACCTCACCTCGGTAGGCAGACTCATCGTCCCCAGAGATAAGTCCCACCACTGTTGTATCAATCTGAAGCAAAATATTTTCTCTGTGTATAGCTGAAAGTCCTTGTAACAATAAATCAAAATCAGGTATTCCAAATATAAGCCAAACATTTGGCAGCTTCTGCAGCAAAAAATGTTCACAGTTGATCTCCTGTGGTTCATACAATTGTACTACACTGTGTGTGTTGTTGTTTTATAATATACTATACATTATGTAATAGGCCATGAAATACAATGACAGTGGAATGCAAGTAGTCCTCAACTTACAACCACAACTGAACCCAGAATTTATGTTGTTAAGTGAGACATTGGTTAAGGGAGTTTGGCCCCATTTTATGACCTTTCTTGCTACCGTTGTTAAATGAATCACTGCAGATGTTAAGTTGGCAACACGGTTGTATCTGGCTTCCCCATTGACTTTGCTTGTTAAAAGGTCGCAAAAGGAGATCAGTTGATCATGGGACACTTCAACTGTCATACGTACGAGTCAGTTGCCAGGCGTCTGAATGATCACGTGACCACTGGGTTGCTGCGAGAATTGCACGTATGAAAAAAGGCTCTAAGTCACCTTTTTCAGTGACTTTTGAACGGTCACTAAATGAACTGTTGTAAGTTGAGGACTACTTGTATTATTAAACCAACCATCTGAAAAGATAGGCCTGGGTGTCTTGGGATTGGAGGAGGTCCAGAAGGGCCATGGTGGCACAGTGGTTAGAGTGCAGTGTTGCAGGCGACCTCTAAACACAGCCTGGGGTTCAATCCTGACTGGGCTCAAGGTGGACTCAGCCTTCCGTCCTTCTGAGGTCCATGAAATGAGGACCCAGATTGTTGGGGGAAATACGCTGGCATTTAAAAAGCGCTCAGAGAGTGCTGTAAAGCACTATGGAGCGAGCGGTATATAAATCTTAAGTGCCACTGCTATATCGCTATTGCTACTGCTACCGTAAGTATTCTTACTGTGTATTTTTTGTTTAGCTGCCTAGCTTTTTCCCTAAATGGAAGCTTGGCGTAATAATAAGTTTGGGACCTTTTGCCTCTTAGATACTCCTGGAATGGCCAACCTTTATTTATTAACCCCCCACCTGCAGACTTCCAGACAAGAATCCCACCCTGTAACAACTGCAGAAGCAGGAGAATCTTTGAATTCCAGCTGATGCCAACCCTAGTCAACATGCTGAAGACCAGAGAAAATGGTAGGCAGCCTGAATTAAGATGTTGGCTGGCAATTAGTTGTTGGGTTTTTTTGGGGGGGGGGTGTCACCTTTCTGTGGTGTAAATAGGGAAGAGGGGCTGGGTAGAAAACTGGAGGCTCTACTTCAGAATGGATGGCTGTTCTGCTGATTTCTGCCTATATACTGCTTCTGTTTGCAAAGGTCTTGTCAATCTGGTTTGGCTGTGCTATTACTTCTGCAGATTTCTATTACAATAAATTATTTTTTTCCCCAGTCTGCCAGACTAGCTGATCATTGAGATGCTAACAGCTTGCGGGCAATAAGTCCCAGGGAGGCTTAACCTCCAAATCCTTGGAATTCAGAAGGGGCGGTCATATCACACTCCCTTAAGTGTTGGTATCTGCGCTTCTTTCCCAGACCTTTCGGACTTCTTGCAAACATACAAGGCAGGAAGGACCAGGGGAAGCTCCTGCACTGGTGAAGAACATGCTTAGCCTCTTTTAGATACAGTTGTTTGGATTTGCTTTAAGCGGATGATCGCACGGAAGTGACTGAGGCAGGACTTTGCTCAGTTATCTGGTAGAGATTCAGTTGGTTGGTTCTGAAAATGTGGTTGAGGGTCCTTGCAGCTGGCCCCGCTGTGGTCTGGACCAGTGGTGGGATTCAAACACTTACCACCGGTTCAGTGGGCGTGGCTTGGTGGGCATGCTTTGTGTGTGTGCACGCACTTTGCATGCACACACATGCCAAACAGACACTTTGCGCAGGCACAGAGGCATTCCAACTCACCTCCTGCAAGCCTCCACTCTGGGAGTTGAAGTCCACAAGTCTTAAAGTGGCCACGGTTGGAGGCCCCTGCTCTAGGGCTCTTCTGTTAAGAGTAATCTGATGGGACCCTGGAAGAGGGCATTTTCTGTCGTTGTGCCTATCCCTCTCCCCTGAAATACATAGGGCTCAGTCCCTCCTTGCTTTCCAGAAGTCTGCTCAGACTTGGGTCTTCCCTCAGGTGTCAGGGGAGGGAGGTATGAGCCCAGCATTTGGGACATCTTTTGAGAGACTCCTGATTGTGTGGGTGAGGGTTGACTTTAATCCTGTGTTTTTATGGTCTCTTCTTTGTTTGAAGGACAACACTTTCGTAAATTATCTCTTTACATGCATTTGTGATGAGGGCAATAACCTTGAAAAGGCTCTCTCTCTTTTTTTTGGCAGATACATCAGTAGAATTTGGAACTGCGCTAGTCTACACGTGTGAGAAAAGTTGTTGGACAGCCGGTTGTTCTTCACCCTTGGAAGAATTTATTTTTGTACAAGAAGATCCAGACCAGCGATTGTTTAAATAGATTCTATTTCATTCTTTGCCGAACCGAAGGCACACAAGAAGAGTGAATCAGATATATGAAGCCCTGTAGTTTGTCGAAAAGGGAAATGTTGGCCTCCACTGGTCCTATCTGGCTAATATTGTCCAGGCTCAGAAGCATATATTGTGTACATGTGCACCCACGGACGACTCTGTAATGCCTTTTGTGTTGGGGGCGGGGTTTCTGCATCTTCCCACTACAGCTGGGTTGGCCATTCTGATGCAGGGAGAAGCAGCGATTTTTTTCCCAATTTCCTGGAGGTCATGGATGTGGTCCTGGAGGCATGGTGGTCAGTGTGTGCTCCCTTCAAAATCCAAGAAAGAAATACCCAGACGCCATGGATCAGAGCAAAGTTATTCTTTTACTGGAAATTAAAGTGGAAGCTACAGATGGAATTCCGAATCTGAGAATTTGGCGCGCAGATCACATATACAAAGGAATGGAATTGTTCCCACCCCCCAAAGTCCAGAAGTCTCTTCCAATTAAAAGTTCTGAATACGATCATGTGGGCATCTTCAGGTGGTGATGAGGCCTCTGTCCGTTGACCTTGACGTATTTTGATAAAACTTCGCAGCTGCGCAAAAAGGGATAGAAGCTAGCAAGGAAATGGAAAGTTGAAAAGAAGAAATCATACACCCCCTCCTTTTGCTTACCCACAGTAAAGGAATGCAAAACACCTCCAGCTCTCTTCCCCCCCACAATTACCCCTCCCCCCATTGCTAATGACAGCTGAAAGAATTAAGCCTGGCAGCAGAGAAGATACAGTAGGTAGGATATGAGAGAGATAAATGAGATAGATAGCGGTTAGGGTAGCCGAAGAGATCTTGAGGCTGACACACGGCCTTTTGGGTGTTGGAGCAGCCCTTCTGGAATGACCTTAACAGGTTTAATTCTTCTCTCCCATTTGACCCGCCTTTCAGAAAAAGCTTCTCCAGCAGGCTTTTGAGACCTGATATCCTATGTTGGGCCTGGGATTTGATTATCATATGTATCAGAGGGGGTATTCAGCCGGTTCTGACCAGTTCTAGAGAACTGGTAACGGAAATGTTGAGTATTGCTCAGATCTGTTGGAAGGGAAGGGGAGATTTCCAGAGCTCCCTGGAACCCAGTTGTGGAAGCCAGCACTTTCCACTTCCACTGCCCATCAGAGGTGGGATTCACAGGTTCTGACCAATTCTGGAGAACCGGTAGCGGAAATTTTGAGTAGTTGGGAGAACCGGCAAATCCTGCCTCTGACTGGCCCCGCCAACCCCATCTATTCTCTGCCTCCTAAGTCCCAGCTGATCGGCTGGGTCTTCTTTTGTTGCCCTGCCCAGGAGAACGGAGCTGGAAAGCAGGTTACTGGGGTGGGGAGGGAAGGGGGATTTTGTAGTAACCTTTCCCTGCCACGCCCACCAAGCCATGCCCACAGAACCGGTTGAAATGTTGAATCCCACCACTGATACTTATCATATTGCTGTATATTCCTATCTCGTGACCTACCAAGAGTCATAGGACTGCAACATGGTATAAATTTGATTAATAAATACTGTTACTTTCTGCATAGCCTGTCTAGAGTAGTAGACCCCAGCTTCTATGGATCAAGTACTCAGTGCTTATTCTTGTGCTGCTGTGATCAGTGCTGTCTTTCAGTCTAACTCTTTCCTGCCACTGCTAGAATTTCCCAATATCTGCCACCGCAGCTATTGAGGGTACATCCCACATGAGGTCACACTTTGCCATGGCACATGGAATAGAGTAGAATTCTTTATTGGCCAAGTGTGATTGGATACACAAGGAATTTGTCTTTGATGCAAATGCTCTCAGTGCACATAAAACAAAAGATACATCCGTCAAGAGTCAAGAATCATCAGGTACAAGACTTAATGATACTCATGGAGTACAAATAAGCAATCAGATCACACTAGGAAACAGTCAATATAATTCGTAAGGATACAAGAGACAAAGTTACAGTCCTACAGTCACAAGTGGGAGGGGATGGGTGATAAGGAGTGATGAGAAGATTAATAGTAGTGCAGACTTGGTAAATAGTTGGACAGTATTGAGGGAATTATTTGTTTAGTAGAGTGATCATCTTCTGCTGGATCTTCCACGGCTGCTGCTACCTCTCAGCCGCCCATCTTTGGGTGCCATCTTACTGATGCACTCTTGGATGCTCTAGGTTTCATCCATGACAGCAACTTTGGCACTCACCAATCCGCACCCCACTGACTGGTTGGTGTACAGTCTTTGGATGTTGGGGTGGAAACCACTACATTGTGAGGAGCTTCCAGATCTTCACGAACACTTGAGGAAGGCTCTCAGAGTCCTGTTGATTGTGTATAGTGCCAGGCATACACAAACCCATGTGTGTGGCTCTGAATCAGATCGATGTGCCTAACCCTATCCTCATGGGCAATTGCTTTATCAATGAGCAACTGAGGTTTTGAGCCTTTGGTATTGTTTCCAATGCCCTTCTGAGCTGTGCTCATGTATTGACCCATATGTCCTGTAACTTAGTGGCTATAATGCCTGACAGAACTTTCCATGTTGTGCGGAGGCTGTAATTGCGTGGTGTTACTCCCTTGTTGGTGTCAGACCTGCCTCAGTCTGGTCCTTCGGGGAAGAAAAACCTTCAACTCCATTTGGTTGACACTAAGAGTGCTTTCTCTAGAGCCAGAAACGACTAGCAGGTATGTGCGAGGGGAACCTTTACCTTTTACCCACGAGAGTGCTTTTACTAAGAGATACTGATTGCAGTAAATTCAGGCGGAATTTAAAGTTCCTGTGCAACAATGCACAACTATTCCTCTGGTTCCCCATCCCTCCCCTCCTGACCAGTCCTTCAATCAATCCAGCATCCCTGAGAAATTTTGGGGAACACCCCAAGAGGTGTTGAGGCTGTGAAATTCCACACTCGGTGTAAATGGCTGCGAAGATGCCTAGCATGGATTCCACACTGTTCTGCTCTGCTCTTCTGCTCCAAATCAACTGTTCCCCGCTCCCAAATTCCCACCACAGAAACGCAGAACAGCTTAGCTAAGATGCAGGAAGAAGGAAGATGAGAAGAATTACTAACACAGCCACTCTAAATGGTAAGTATCCTTAACATAAAGCAGCACTGTGGTAATTAGGTGCCCAGCAGAGTGAGGGCAGGAAGGGAAAAAACTGCCTTTGTGTCGAGTGGTTTTGGCAGGTGATGTACGGTTATTAAATTGCATGATGCAGGGATCCCCAACCTTGGCCGCTTGAAGAGTTGTGGATTTCAACTCCCAGAATTCCTCAGCTGAGGAAATCTGGGAGTTGGAAGTCCACAAGTCTTCAAGTGGCTTAGGTTGGAGACCCCCGCTTTAGTGGAAACCTTGCATTGTGTTTTGTAAAGCATGGCTTATGGCTTGCAGTTTTGTGTAAATTCAAGCTATTGTGGCATATTCAGCCAGCCACGATTACAGTATAATAAAACTGTGTATTGTATGAATCCAAGCTTAGAGTCAGTCCTTCATGGAATATAATAAATGTTGATAAAAGCTTCTGTACTTGTATCGCCAGAGGAGAAGTCACCAGAAAACTGAGCTCCTTTCTCCAACATCCAAGGGCTTCCATTTTTCACTGGGGGGAAAAGCGCGTCTGCTTAGAATAACATAGAATGACAGAGTTGGAAGGGACCTTGGAGGTCATCCAGTCCAATAACCTGCTCAAGCAGGAGAGTCTATTCCAAATATTAGCTTATCCACGCTTTGCAGCTCTGGCTGCTCCTCCTGTGGTGTCTGTCTGGATCGGAAGGGGGGAGGTCCTGCTGCTTTGCACCCCCTCCCAAACAGGCGGAAGAGCCAACCACATTCGGAGCTGCCTTCCCTGCTCCCCAGCCCCCCACCCCACCCCCCGGCCTGCCGGGATGTTTATTTTATTTTTATTTATTTATTTTTGTCCATTGCTTACAAGATAATAGGTATAAGTAAAAATGTAGTTATGAATACATGGATACATATAAGAAAAATAAACAAAAAAACCCAATAGGACAGGGACGGTAGGCTCACTGAGGCGCTTATGCACACCCCTTACAGACCTCTTAGAAAACGGGTGAGGTCAACAGTAGACAGTGTAAGGTTAAAGTTTTTGGGATAGAAACCACATAGTCAGGTAGAATGTTCCAGACATTGACCAGTCTGGCTGAAGTATTTCCCGCAATCAAGTTTGGTGTGATTAACCTTGAGTTTGTATCTATTGTGTGCTCTTGTATGGTTATGGTTGAAGCTGAAGTACTCATTGACAGGTAGGACATTGCAATGTATGATTTTATATACTATACTTAGATTGGACTGAAGGCGGCGTAGTTCTAGGTTTTCTAGGTCTAGAATTTCGAGTCTGGTGGCATAAGGTATTCTGCAACGAGTAGAGGAGTGGAGAACTCTTCTGGTGAAATATTTCTGGACTTTCTCAACTGTGTTAATATCAGATACATAATGTGGGTTCCAGACTGATGAGCTGTATTCAAGTATTGGTCTAGCAAATGTTTTGTATGCTCTGGTTAGTAGTGTGATATTACCAGAGAAAAAGCTACGTAGGATTAGGATAACAACTCTTAATGACTTTTGGGCTATGTTGTTACAGTGGGCTCTAGCACTTAGGTCATTTGAGATGAGAACTCCAAGGTCCTTGACAGAGTTTGGATCATCAACAAGGTGTTGACTATTCAGCCTGTATTTTATTTTCTGATTTTTTTTGCCAATACGTAGGGCAGAGCATTTATTGGTTGAGATGTTCCCAGCATCAGCAGCCTGGCTGGCTGCGGCGGGTCGGTGCCCGGTGGCTCCTGGGTCGGGAGCGGCTGCCGCAAAGGGAAGCGGCTGCGACGGCTGGAGAAAGCCTTGCGACGCGGCTGCTCAGAGCCGAGCCTGGCTTGCAGCCTTCGGGGAAGCAGAGCTGCCAGGGCATCGGACGGGGCGCTTCTCCCCCGGATGCCGCCCGCGGCTTCCAAAGCCCGGCTGGAAACGGAGAAGAGGCCGGTCGGGCTCAGCCTCCTGCAGCCGGTTGGCATGGAGCACCGAGGGGCCCCTCCAGCAGGGCGCCCTTCCTCCGCTCTGCCGTTGCCGGGCGCCGGGGTGGCTGAGAGCCAAGGAGACGCGGTCCAGCACTGGGAATCCGCGCCGCACCCACCGGCCGCTAGGGGCAGCCGCGCAAGCTAGAGCAGCGGCCGCTCTGGGAAAGTTGCGCTCTGTGGCGAGGGGTTCGCCGGAGGCGGCCTGAGGAGCGGCGCATGCGCGGCGCCTGGGTTGGAGTTCCCTCGCCGTCCCTTTTT